ACAGGACGTCCACAGCTGTACTAGATGTCTGGTCTGGGCCCAGCCTGCTGTGGCGGCACTCTACCACTCTTGTCCACCTTCCTAACCATACATCTATCCTGGAGGCCTGGGTAGTGCCTCTTCTTCAGCAGGGCATGGCTGTCAGAGTCAAGCTGTCCTGTCCTGGGCCTGCCTCTCAGACCCCATAGGAGAAATCTGTAGCTGCTGTTCCTTGGGGAGCCTGCAACCCTGATGGACCTTCAGTAAACCCGGATGGTGCTGGCCTGGTCTCATGGACACTAAGAAGCCCCTACTGGGGCATCAACACAGAAATGGGCAGTGGGAGCCTCTTCAGGGCAGTCTGGTTTTATCCTCTTTTAATTTCCTGAAACAGCCAAAGTTTGTGTGAGCTAGTGTCTTGTCAGTAACAAGAGCTTTACCCTTACCCCAGAGGACTGGGTGTAGGTGGTGTGAGGCTGTTCATCAGGCAGTGACTGCCCTGCTCGCTTTTGCTGGCCCATGCCTGGGATATGAGCCTCTCTCCTACCGAGGTCAGGACATCCTGTCCTGGGGTTACCTTGGTTGGGGACAGTGAACATTTAGGACACTGGCCAACACATAGTTTATACAGCCTCTCCAATGTCAGAGTCCAAGGGTCAGCACCCTGACTGTTATATGCTCCCAAATGGCTACCAACTCAGCCTAAAATAAAGAAGTCACTCCATCTAAGTCCATGTGACTGGTTCATTGACCCACGGGGCAGGCAGGATTTGGGCATCACAGACACCCTCTCTCTACCAGCCTCCCTGAGATCACAGATGACATATGGTAATGAGGCACCACAGCCCACCCCCAGACCCTCTGCACAGAAGCGGTATCTTCCCAGGGCTGTCCCCAGCAAGGAAAGTGCGGACACCATTCTCTAAGCTAGCAGATCTCTGCAGGGGATCATCAGGAGGCTAGGGTCCAGTCACTACTGTAGTTCTGAGCCTACAGCAGTCCCCTGAAGGTGTCTCGAGGATCTTTATCTTACTCTAACAGAGGGATGTCATGTAATGGTTATACTCCCACACGTAGGGACACAGAGATGCCCTAAGAGAATGAGGCATCCAAGCACAGACATCAACTTCCAGGAAAGCAAGCTGCCCCACCCAGGAAACTGGGGTTGCTGCAAGGAGGCAGGTGGCAGGACATTGAGGGGAGGTTCCAGTCCCAGCCCACCAGAAGTGGGAGTGGGATTGTTGGAGATTCTTGGGGAAAGGCTAGTTTGTAGCTTATTTATTGGGCATTTATTGGACACTCGTGTTCCAAACCTGCAGGTAATGACTTCTTTTGCCCCCACAAAGAAACAGGTGACATCCCTCTCTGAGCCTGGTAGACTGATTCTAGTCTATCCAGGGACCATGACACCAAATGCAGATGGTGAACCCAGGTTGACCTGTGCAGGGCAATCCAGTTCCTGGAGCAGTTGACCTATGAAAGAAGAATATGAATGGGCCAGAAGCCCCTAGCAGCTTCTTCCCACTGGCATCAGGAATAGACAGGCCAGTGCCAACTTTTGCTTTCTCACATTGGAAGATTTGAACCTCATGCCCAGCTGCTGGTAAGGCACAGACTTTGTCTCAGCAGTTAAGGCAGCAGCAGTTAAAGGACCAGGTTTCAGTTCCCAGCACCCACACAGCAGTTCACAACCATCTGTAACTCTAGTTTTAGGGACTCCAATGTTCCCATCAGTACTCCCTACATGCAGACAGAACACCCATACACATAAAAAAATAAAGGTTCAAACAAACAAGAACTTGTGTGTTGTCTGACTTGGGTTCTTGGCACTGACTTGGGTAGAGGCTCATGCTCCTGTGACGTATACAGACTTTGGACACTAATACCAGGTAACCGTGGAGCCTTATGATATGTTAATGTACCTGCTGCAGGCCTTGGCTTGGACAGTGACATCAGTTTCAAAGCCCCACTGCACAGAATCATGACCAGTGGGTTGTGTTAAGTACATCCTGGTGCTCAGAGCACCTGCTGGACTGGGATCAAATCAGACTATATCGCAGCACAACCCCGGGAGAACTAAACAGTGCCGTTCAGCCTACCATGGCACTAAAAGGAGGCAGATCTGTGTTCAGGTGGCGTGTGTGTGTGCGTGAGTGCATGTGTATGTGTGTTAAGAGTCATTTTTGTTTACAACTGAAACTCAGAATTCAAAATTAACTTTGCTTCTAAATTTCTTATAGACAAGTCAGAAAACATTTCGGCCAATGTTCTATTGTTCTGACAGTCTTTGTGCAAATGAACCTTTTTTAAAAAGACAATCTCGGGGCTGGAGAGATGGCTCAGAGGTTAAGAGCATTGCCTGCTCTTCCAAAGGTCCTGAGTTCAATTCCCAGCAACCACATGGTGGCTCACAACCATCTGTAATGAGGTCTGGTGCCCTCTTCTGGCCTGCAGACATACACACAGAAAGACTATTGTATATATAATAAATAAATAAATATTAAAAAAAAAGACAATCTCATGTATCCCAGGAGAGCCTCTAGCTTGCTTTATACAAAGGACAACCTTAAATTTCTGATTTTTCAGCCTCTACCTCCCAATTGATGAGCCCCAGGGATTTGCTACCATGTGGGTTTTATGTAACGCTGAAAGTGGAAGCCAGGCTTGTTCATGCTAGGCAGGCTCTCTCTAACTAATCCACAGCCCCAGCCTCCCACAGGAATCGTAATGAGCCAGGTGTCACCCAGTTTCTGCTGCCCACAGTGTCACTTGTGAAGACCAAGGCTTCAAGGATCACCTTATGCCTTCTGAGGCATTTGCTTATTCTAGGCACAGCTTTCTCAGGTTGCTTTAGGCTGAGTTCTCTCAGCACTGAAGCTTCCCACTGAGTTTTTCCTCCAGCTCACACACCAGCTGGCCTGGGTTTTCTGGAAAGATTCCAGCTGAACTGGAACACAAATTGTCATACATTGCCCACCATAAATTTTGCTTTCCTTGGCACGGTGTTGAGCTCTATAGCTGGACCTTGAGGTCCAACTTTCTTTCTTGTATCAGCAGTGCTTGGGAGGTGTCTGACCGGGACACCTTGAATTCCTCATGCTTCTTACCATTGGGCTTCAAGATCTAACTAAACCTGGCTTTGTCCTGGTGGAATACCAGCTTAGAAAGAGGCCCGGCTCTCAACAGAGCTTGCATGCTGTGGCTGAAGAAAAAAAAAAGTATATCTTTGAGTTACTACTTCAGCATTTCTAAGCCATTGTTCCTCCATAGAGCAGGAGTGAATAGCAATTTTGCTACTGAAAATCCTATATGGTAACAAGAAATAGCCCAAACTAAAAATTACAAAACAGTAACAACTAATATTAGGTTATGCATAAAGGAAAAGAAAAATACCTGTAGGCGTGGGCGCCTATAGGTGGCGCCAGGAGCAGACCTCAGAAATATGGGGATTTAAGGAAAAGGGGAAAAAAGGCAAGGAGGAACTCATGAGAATAGTGTGCACACAAGTATAAAAAGGCAGGAGCATTCATTGGAGGTAAGAAGATGGGACAGTCAGAGTCAAAGGAGCAACATTTGTTTGCAGAAATTCTGCACCGTTGTTGCTGGTGGAAAGAGTTAAAGTGAGACACTATCAGTTAGTGAACTTCAGCTTCTTTCCCTGAAGAGGGAACTCTGAATCCCAAAACTTGGTCCCCATTAGGAACAGCAATTAAGGGAGAGTTGGATGCAAGGGAACCAGAAAAAAAAAATCCTAGGTATATCTTTCAGCTTTAGGAAGAAATAAAATCAGTAATAGATAAAAATGGCACAGTTAAAATTAAAAACGAAAATGATCACAAAAAGGCAGAGCTAACACTAGCAATAGGAAAATTAGAACATAAAGAGACATATTATCTAGCCAGGCAGTAGTGGACATGCCTTTAATTCCAGCACTTGGGAGACAGAAGCAGGCGGATCTCTGTGAATTTGAGGCCAGCCTGGTTTACAGAGTGAGTTCCAGGTCAGCCAGGACTGTTACACAGAGAAAGCCTGTCTCGAAAAACAAGCAAACAAGATAAATTATCTAATCTCTCTCTCTCTCTCTCTCTCTCTCTCTCTCTCTCTCTCTCTCTCTCTGTGACGAGGTTGAGGGTTTTCCTCCTCCTTGTGCTGATTTTGCTCCCCCACCTACAGCTCCAGTTTCCTCTGTTCCTAAAACCTACCTGTCAAGTGCAGTTCTGATAGCCTGGAAATGTGTCACCCCCAACCCCCACCCGCTGCCTTGCTCCATTTCTTTCTGAGGTTGTTGGGAAGGCTTCTTACCCTGCATAAGAGAATTAACTCCTTTGAAGTTGTGGTGCAAGTCTCCCAGCCTTTGTTTTAGCCCAGGAGAAGGGAAAAGGCAGGGAAGGATTTTCTCTTTTAGAAATTGTACGCCCATTTCATGTGAGACTCTTAGGGATCTTAGGCAAGCTTGTGCTCAGTGTGGACCAATGGCTCTCCTTTTCCATTGTCTCTCCTGGATTCTGTTTCTGGGGAAGCTTTTCTTCCCTCTGACCGGAGGATCTTAGCAAAGCCTTGTCTCACTGGGAGTGAATATTTACTGTGGAAGACCGATTATTCAGAAAGATGTCAGGACCAAGATTCTAGAAATCAACAAAATGATGTGCCCATAGCTTTTAAAATGTTAGCCAGAGAAGGCATGTATAGCGATGCTCAACCACAGATCACATCTCCTCCTGAGGCTTATGGACAAATCAATGCCTTGGTTTAACAGGGGTGGAATAAGTTACCAGGTCCTGGAAGAAAGACAGAGGAACTTCTAAAATTGAAAGGAGCCTGACAAGCCATATCAAGGTTTTATTTCTCGCTGGGAAGTGGGGGTGCACATCTTTATTCCCAGCACTCGGGAGGAAGAGGCAGGAGGATCTCTGTGAATTTGAGACCAGCATGGTCTACAGAGTGAGTTCCAGGACAGCCAGGGCTACACAGATTTTGCTTTTCTTTTTTTGCAGGCAGCCAATTGCCTGATGGGGGAGAGAGAGAGAGAGAGAGAGAGAGAGAGAGAGAGAGAGAGAGAGAGCAATGCCTACTGTGGATACCTAGAAGACAACCTAAGATGGACAAGGAGGTTCCAAAACATCTGCAGAGGCTATGCCTGAAGAGAGGAAGAGAACAGGATGATGGAAATTCCAAGCAGTGCAGAACAAAATCTTCCTACCAACAATGACTCAGATGAAGAAACCAGTGACTGGGGGAAAACATGGCCAAATCTCAGGGGAAGGGTGTGACTGCAGAACTGCTGTGTTTGCTGTGCTGTCTCTGTTAAATGCATCTGCTCCTGCTGAGACATATTAGGCTTATGGACCTGATCTTCCTGTGCTTCTCTTTGTTATCTGGGAAGAGAATAACTTTCCTGTTTATGTCAATGGGTGCCTACACTGATAATCATATTGCTACCTGAGCAGAGACAGTCATAATTTAAGTATTGATGCTCATGCCTTGTATGATGAAATATTAACAATTCAACATTCAAAGCTAGATAAATTATCCTCTTTCACTGCTACACAAAATTTGGAAAAGATTTTTGGTCATTATCTTTCTGTCTTTAATGGGACTTCTAAACTATGGTCCATAGGAATGTCACTAGGAAGTTTTTTGCTGGTTATACGTGACTGAAAATTGATTTGGTACCCCATGTCTGCTTTACAGATTGACTTGCATGCCCTAAATTAAAAAATAAAAAGAAACCAAAAAAATAAAAAAGAGGAAATTGCAGGGAATCATGGAATTGGCCTGGCCTAACTGCCTTGAGACACATGTGTCATAGGTTTTCAGGTTAGAGTCCACGGCTCTGGGGGGCACAATGTGCCTTCCAGTTCCTGAGAGACTGTTGTGCTCCTTCAGGCAGTTAAGGGTTCAGGCCACTTTGTGTTTGTTTTGCTGTATGTTACATTACTAATCAAGGAAGGATGGAAGCTTGGCAGAACAACTGGTCTTAGACATTAATCTAGTGTACCCTGCATAGCTTGTAAACTTCATTGTATCCTGGCAACTACACCCATATTTGTACGGGCAATTGCCATTGTATTCTGTTTCTGATAAAGGTATGAAAACCCTGATTGCTCTCACTAAAACTAAACAGCCTCAATCTTGCTATGACCCTGACTTAGTTCCTCATGGCCACACCAGGTTGACCCCTGCACTCCAGAGGCAGAAGCCAGAGAATCTCAAGTTCTAGGCCAGCTGAGCTATCCAGAAAAACTCTTTAGAGGAGAAAAAAAAATACTAACCAGTATAAAAGAAAGTCAAAAATAATAACAACTACACCTGCATTGGATTGAGGAAAATCTTCAGACACGGGCCAGTGCGGTACATGATGGTGTAGGGAAGAGCCAGCTGTGGATGAGCCAAGCAGAAGCCAGCTTACAGTCCTAGGCAAGATAAGTATGAACGGCCTTGATTTAGCAAATCTGTCGAGGTAAAACCAAGGTTCACAAAGGATGTGAAGAGCACAGAGGACATGGAGCGGCACTGTTCGCTCGGGGAGAGCAAGAAAGGGAAGTAGCAATGGATGCAAAACAAACGACCCAAACTTACTGGCTCAAACACATAAGCCGTTTGTATCGTTCCCGCATCTTCCGATGTAGATAAGGTCCATAAGGAGAGCTCTACCCACCCCTGTCATCAACTGTGGCTGTAATTGGTGACAAGAGGCTGAGTCGGTTGGACGACGTCTTAGGTCAACGCCCACGGTGAATAGGGACCTAAAGAGGTCAGAACGACATAAGAGTATTGTGTGACTGGCCTAACAAACCACCACAGAATGGGGAGGGGTCTTACAACAGTGGAAATGTACCAGCACAACTCGGAAGGCCGCGAATCTATGCCGCCATCAGGACTGCCCCTCCCATAAGAACACCAGCGGAGGCTCCTTCCTGCCTCCACCAGCTCCTACAGGCTTTCAGAATTCCTTGCTTGGAGCTGTAGCCCATCTTTGCTCCATCTTCACAGAGCTTTCGATATATAAAACTCTTCTTGTGAGAACATCAATATTATCAGTTTAGGGCTCATCCTAATCCAGAATAACCTCTTAGTTACAGGTGGAAGAAAGCGCACTGGCAGGTGGACATTAGCCCGCTACAAGGCCTCACCATTAGTTTAACAGAGTTTCTGCTTGTTCTTTGCAATGCTAGAGGTTGAACCTAGAGCCTTGCACATACTAGGCAATTGCTCTACTGCTGAGCCCCAGCCCCCAAGGCCTCTCTGTTTTGCTGCTAGCTCTCTCAGCATACAGTGTTGGGGTCCAGGGGTGTCTTGAAACAAGACAGGCGTGGAAACTTTATGATGGGGTCAAGGGAGTTAAACAATGCCACTGTGGGTTGAACAACCTTAAAAGCCAACCAATGGCCAGGTAGTGGTGGCGCACACCTTTAATCACAGCAAAAAGCACAGTGATGGCCAGCACGGTGTCTGAGGAGAGCTGCCTGCTTAATGTCATTTTCAAAGTCCTTCGAATCTGAGGAATTTTACAGGAAAGTAGACACCTTCCCCATGCTGGGTTCTATTTTATCAAACTTGGCCTAGGTCTGGTGACCTGGTGTACATATAACACAGGTCACTAAGATATACCCAGTGGAACCTCACCGGGTTGAGGAGCAGGCTGGATTCCGGTTCCTCAAGCCAACTAGCAAAAATAGCCAAATACCGGCAAGGCGGGGTCTGACTTGGCTGGTGGATCATGGACCAAAGGAACTCAAAGATATGTATTTAAGTGCAATTTAAAACTGGGGGTGGTGGAGGATTGCTCAGTGGGTAAGAGCAACTTACCTGGCTGCTCACACCCGGTGTGTCGTAACCACTCCCCCGGCCCGGAACTAGGTGATTAACGACCTCGGACTAGTAGAAAGACTAGGGACTTGGAGACTGAATTTCAGAGGACCTACCTCAAAAGGTGAGCGGCCAAGGCGGGCCACCCCCTGCTTCGGCCAAGCCACGCCCACACCACCACCGGCCCACTTAGCCAAAAGGGTGGCACCCGATCCCAGCCTCGCCCCCCGACGTCACGACCAAGGCCAAGGGGCGGGCTCTCTCCGCAGAAGCGAGACGCTAGACCCCGGCCCAAGTGGAGCTCTCTGGGACCGCTGGGGACTAGCAGGTAGCACCGCCGCCCACGGGATCTACAGTATGGTCGGTCAGTGGGAAAGGGGCTCTGGTGGCCAGAGGCTCAGCTGGCGGGAGCGGGTATCCTCTGGAGGAGGGTGCTGTTAACACGAGGGCACTCAGCAAGCCGGGCTGAAGGTTTCCTGGGGAGGGGAAGCTAGAGATGTCCTGGTCACCCAGCTGTCGGCATCCACGTCTCCTGGTCGAAGGGGTCCATGGATTCCGAGACTCGCTAAGCTGGCAAGGGCTCTGTTTCCAGGTTGGAGGGGGCCCCGGGGTTGCTGGGTGCGGGCATGGGAGTCGCATAGCTGAGGCGACATGGTCTCTAGTTTGACACCTCGTCCCGCGCACGGTCAGGATGGGCAGCAGCTCGCTGTCAGAGGACTATCGCCTGTGCCTGGAGCGCGAGCTGCGGCGGGGCCGCGCGGATGTCTGCGGCGACCCCTCGCTGCGCGCGGTTCTCTGGCAGATCCTGGTGGAGGACTTTGACCTGCACGGGGCGCTACAGGACGATGCGCTGGCGCTATTCACTGACGGCCTGTGGGGCCGTGCTGACCTGGCCCCTGCCCTACGCGATCTGGCCCGCGCCTTCGAACTCCTGGAGCTGGCCGCCGTGCACCTGTACCTGCTGCCCTGGAGAAAGGAGTTCACCACCATTAAGGTATGGTTTGGTGATGTTCCTCCACTCCCTTCCTTGTCCAGGCTGTTGGGGGCTGCAGTTCCTCTACAGGGGAAAGTTCCGTGCTGAGGAGCTGTGGGCGTATTGGGATGCAAGCCTACCAGGCAGCCATTCACCTCTGAAACTCACATCGCTGTCCTCAAAGTAGCCTCACTGTCCTGGTTGCTATGGAAATTTTAGGATAGCCGTGGGTGGGAGGGTGAGGGAGGTACTTGATGTCCTGTGGTCATCCTAACTCCTCAAGGATGTGGACTGATCTGTTCAATGGAAGCCGCTAAGACTAGGAAGAGAGCAGCAGGCCTGTGACTAGAGCATGGACTTTGTTCCTCCCTGGGTCCAGGTTAGGTGACCAGGTCCAGGGCTGACCTGTTTCTTCAGTCAGCTGATGGACCACCAAGAGGGGGCAGGGCTGCTCTGAGCTAATTTTGAGTGGGAAGGCAATGACGTCAGTGAGCACGTGGGCGAGGTAAACCTCCACTGGTTGTCATGGCAGCGTCTCCCCCTCCACACCCCTTTCTCTTCCTACCCCATCAGCTGCTGCTGGTGACAGGGTCACCTGAGATCTTGGAACTTCTCATTCATCCTTTCAGACTAGAGGCCCACCCACCAGTCCTTTGAGGACGAAGGCAGGCAAACTTGGCCTTGAAATAGGCTAGTTCTAGGATGGAGCTGGTGAGGCTGAGTCTCCTCATTGTGGGGTTTTAGCTAAGTTACCTGCTCCCACTATGCCCCTTTCCTTGTAAGAGGCCACGAGAACAGTCAAGGTGCAAAGCCCTAAGAAGGATATTGTGGCCAGCACACCTTATGTGTCCACGACCTCTTCTTAAAGGGTCCATGCAGGGAAGGGCTCCAAGGATGCCTAGAGCTGTAGACTTCCACATTTGGAAAAGATCCAAAGTTTTCCTGATGCTTTGCTCTCGAAAGCACATTTCCATCTGTTAGCCTGGTTCTCTCCCCCAGCTGCACATAGACTCTGGAATACTACACAGCAAGGGGAGTGAGAACAAAACGCCTGGTCTGAGAGCTCTCCCTGATTCACAGCGGGGAGGCTGACAAAAATGAGGGACAGAAGAGTTTGAGAGGCTACCTGACAACTGGGTGTGGTGGAACATTCCTGTAGGCTGAGGCAGCAGGATGTGAGTTCAGGGTCTAGCTGTTAGAGAGGAGAGAGGAGAGAGGAGAGAGAGAGGGAGAGAGGGGGGAGAGAGGGAGAGAGGGGGAGGAGGAGAGGGAGAGGGATGGGGCTCAGCGGCAGTGTTTGCTCCGCATACACAAGGCTTTAGGTTCTCTCCTGCGGGTGGGGGTGGGGGTCCAAGCTCACTCCAGACAGATGAGAACATCAATGGAGGTGAACAAACTTCTGAAGTGGACCACGTCGGCTGTATCCCTGACCAAGCCCCTCCCTTACAGACCTTCTCAGGGGGCTATGTGCATGTGCTGAAGGGTGTACTCTCTGAGGAGCTCCTGACCCGAAGCTTCCAGAAGATGGGCTACGTGCGCAGGGACAACCACCGCCTAATGGTGACCACCCCACCCCCTGCCTGCCAGCTGGTTCAGGTGGCCCTAGGCTGCTTTGCTCTTCGGCTGGAGTGTGAGATCCTAAGTGAGGTGCTGACCCAGCTGGGCACAAGTGTGCTTCCGGCTGAGGAGCTGCTCCGAGCACGACGGGCTAGTGGGGATGTTGCCTCCTGTGTGGCCTGGCTGCAGCAGCGGCTGGCTCAGGATGAGGAGCCACCACCCCTGCCCCCCAGGGGCACACCTGCGTCTTATGGAGCCCCAGTGGACCTGTATCAGGACCTGCAGGAAGACGAGAGCTCAGAGGCCAGTCTGTATGGTGAGCCCTCTCCGGGGCTGGACTCACCCCCTATGGAACTGACATATAGGCCACCACTCTGGGAGCAGAGTGCCAAACTGTGGGGTTCTGGGGGCCAGCCCTGGGAGTCTCCAGCTGATGACCTGCATCGGGCCAGCAGCCCACCATATGGGGCCCTGGAAGAGGAGCTGGAGCCAGAACCCTCTGCTTTCTCCTTCCTCTCTCTGCGCCGTGAGCTGAGTCGCTCGGGGGACTTAGCTACCCCCGATGCCCCTGGGAGCCCAGGGCAGGCCAGCCCCCGACACAGGCAGGCAGAAGGAGCACCAGCCTCAGCCTATGGGCCTGCGGTTGAGCCTCTAAGCTACCAGGCACACAGCTGCTTGAGCCCTGGTAACCTGCCCACCCTCTGCTGTGACACCTGCCGCCAGTTACACGCTACCCACTGCACGGCCCTATCAGCCTGCCGCCCAAGTCATTCACTGCGCATACTTCTGGGTGACAACCAGAGACGCCTGTGGCTGCAACGAGCACAGGTGGATGGATACCCTGATCTATGACAGTCCTGCGGCCCATCCCTAGGCCCAGATGGACCCCAAGACCAGAGTTTGGGGAGATAGTTTCCATGGTGCTTCTTTTGGGAAAGGGCCTAGGCCAGTAGCTGCCCAGGCCCTCCTATTGCCCAGGGGAGTTCAGTACCTATAGTTGGAATGTTCTTGCCTGGGGCTGTATCAGGCCCCTCCTCACTGATGTGCCGTGTTTCAGTCCTGTCTACAGCAGGCCCTGAGCTGAATCAACAAGATCTTCCCTCTTGTTCCTATCCTTATGCCCAGATGTGCTGGGTAGAGAAGTCCAGGATGCCCATATTACAGTACCCAAACTCACTCCAAGAAGGACCCCACCCTGCTCTCTACCTGCTCCCTGCAGGCTATGGTTCAGGATATGTCGTCCCTTTCTCCGTGTGCTGAGAAATCTTACCCAGGAGCTTGTTCAAGAGCCTGTAGACTCCATAAGTTAGATTGGGCCGTGTGGGAGGCTCTGACAGGGCATAAGTCACTTAGCTGAGAGGCCCCCTGCTAACCCCTGCTGTTAGTAAGGAGCCCTGCAAAAACCGGGCACCAGGAGAAGCTCTTACCCCCCACCCCACATCCAGCAGAAAAGGTTCTCAGCAACCAACTGTCTACCAGCCAAAGAGGGGGTGAACATATACAGGCCACCCCTTGGGTTACTGCCAAAAAGCATCTCACTGCCCCATGTAGCTCCTTGAAGGCACACAGATAACCAGGAAGAAAGAAGTTATACCCTCTTTTCCCTTGGCGATAGCCCAGGGCCCGTCACTGGGCTCCCTACACCAATAACCCACAGGACAGTCATGATGAAGGGCTGGGCTTGCATCAACCCCATGGAAGCCCGGGCACAGCATTGCTGCTCTGAACACCTCCTCTACTGACACCCCTTGGCCACGGCTGTTCCTACTCCTCACTCCCAGCCCCTCAGAGGACACTGTCCATGCTGCATGGATCAAAACCCCAGAGTACATTAAAGGATTGTGAAACTGTCTATTGGAAAAGCTTTTTATCTCTCCACCCCTGGAAAAGGAGCCCACCAGTTCTCTCCGTGGGCATCAGTGCTGGGGACATCACCAAGGGCTCTCATTCTGACAGTCTTAAAAGCGTTCTATCGTGGTCCCAACCAATGCTTTCTGCCTCCTTCCCACCTGAAGCTCCACCATCCCTGCCCAGGGCCACTATAGCCTGTCCTGGGCAGCTCCTAGTGACCAAGCAGGAACAGTATGGTCTCCTGGGCCTGCTCATTCCAGGCTAATGCCTAGCTCCAGTTTAACATTATACTGATTTGGGCCTTTGGGCCTCTCAGCTCTAGCACTGCCTCCCCAGAAGCATGTCCTCACTGACAGACAAGGCTGCCAGGAGTTAACAGGCCACCAGATGGTGCTACAGCAGCCCAGTCTATGCTGGGCATCCCCACTCAGCAACATCCCAGTTCATAATCTACTTGCATCCGGGCAGAGGATAGCAGGGAGGAGTCAGCTGAAGAAAGGATGTTAGCTGGAGGGGACAAAGGCATCTTGGCCTGGTGGGCCCTCCCAGTCTGCTGCCTGATGATCCATGAGGGTGTGTAGGGATGGCCGGACCCACTGTCAGGGCTTGCATCGTTTGCTCTGCCCCTCAGTGGCAGCTGGGGCAGCGCGCTTATTGCGGTGGTGGGGGAAGGTGGGCATGAGTTCCGGCTCGCAAGCTGCATGAGAAGGGATAGTTTCAGTGTTGGCTTGAAGAAGCAGTTCCTGGTGGGGCATGCTCCAGATCTAGATGGGACTAACCTTCCATCTGCTTCCTTCTTTCTCCCCTGTGGAGTCTGCCCACATTCCACCCACACAAACCTGCATTGGGAACCCAGCCAATATGGACAGACAGGGCTTTCTGTCAACCCCCCAAAAAGGAGGTCTGCAGAACTCACGTAAGGGCTTCTCTTTGAAGTAGGAGCTCTCCAGACAGTCCCCCGCGGTTGCCCTGAACAATGACAGTAACCTTTGGCTTCAGAGAGGCCTATTTCACTCAAAACACAGCCAGGCTCAACAGCCCAATTCCACCTCTGACAAATGGGGGCTGGAGGCCTAGAAACTGCCAGGCAGCTCAGAATGGCTCTAAGTCCTAAGTCACTCAAAGTGGACACCTGGCACTTACGGCACATCTACAGTCTGTGTTGTGAGAAACCATCTTTAAGAGGTTTGTTGAATTAAGATGGCTCAGTGCTAGAGTGCTTGCCTAACATATGTAAGGCAATAGTTTCCCACGCCCCACACCATAAAACATAAATTAAGGATCTGGGTTTCCTGAAGCCAGGGCCCTCTCCTCCTAAGCTGCCTACAGGAAAGGTCTGTACCTTTTCTTAGGGTCATACATGAAGAGGAAATTAAGCAGACGAAGTCCGGCCTCTGAGAGCCACGGGAACTTGTGCTTGAGATTGTTGTAGGGCTGTTTCCTCAAACTGTATTGGCCGGCTAGCGGCAGCTTGGAGAAGCCCTGTAAGAGGCAGGGGCTGGAGCTACAGCGCCACCAGGCAGAGATGGGAATGGAGAGTTGTCCGTAATACCCACCGGCCAGATATTCTCACTCGGTGTCCCCAGCAGCTGTACAATCAAGTCGATCTGGTGGATCTCAGAAGTGCCAGGGAGAAGGGGCTTATGGGCCAGCAGCTCTGCCAGGATGCAGCCAACAGCCCTGCAGAAGCAGCCAATCTCTGCTTAGCCCCATGTCCACGGACTCGTGAAGGAGGCAAGCGGCCATAAGGCTCTCCCACCAGGTCTGCAAACGCTGCCTGGTGAGACCCTCGGTGCCAGAGCCAGTGAGCACTCCGGCTATGCTGGCATGCTCCCCTTAGGTCCCAAGGTCAGGCTCACCACACAGCACCAATCCTGCTCCCCCTGTCCCAGGGCTGACCTCCAGGGCCAGGTCACTTGAGGACCCAGGAGCAGAAACCACTCCTACCACATGTCAATGCTGGTAGTCTGGGTAGTCGTTCCAAGCAGCAGCTCTGGGGCTCGGTACCTGCAGACAAAGGCCTCATTTTATCTCTGGTCAGCGCCTCTCCTTCAGTCTGAGCTCCCTCAGGGTCCCCGGTGGCCTGAGCGGTAGGGTCACTACTCCTAGCCCGGATTAACCTCTACCCTAAGCTGGAATGCCCCCGTGTCTGTATTATCAGAATCAGAAGACCATCAGTTTGCTTTTGGTCGGAAGCTAAGTGTCCTGATGAGAATGTGAGGGACGACAGTGTCCTGCCCTTTGCCACAACCCCATTCTGCCCTAGAAACAACTACAGAAGCTACCCTTCCCTTTCTGAGACAGAGAGACAGAGCCAGGCTGTCTGGAGCTGTTTTAGTGTAGGACAGCATTTCTTTGTTTGGGTTTTTTGTTGTCGTTTTTCGAGACAAGGTTTCTCTGTTTAGCCCTGGATGTCCTGGAACTCATTCTGTAGACCAGGTTGGCCTCAACTCAGAGATTTGCTGCCTCTGCCTCCCCAGTGTGGAGATAGAAGGTGTGTAAGGCCCTTTTGCAGCATCTGCCTCAACTGCAAAGGGCCCCATGGAAGGCATACCCACTCATACGGGCCACCACAGTTCAAAAGGAACTCACCAGAGGGTAACAACCTTGGGAGTCATCGGCTTTACTGGAACACCATAGGCCCGGGCCAGGCCAAAATCCGCTGCAGTACGAGAGGAGACAGAGAGTATCACTCAGCCAGGACAGACAAGTTGTTATCTAAGACGGCCGGGGGCTAGGAAGACAGACATGCCGTCTCTGGCTTCTACACTGACATCCCCTACCCCTACAGGCATGCTCAAAGAAACCCACTCCCACATATGTGGGGGCAGCACCCAGCACCCACCTGTCTTTACACAGCCCTTATCTGTCATGAGCAAGTTGGACACCTTCAGGTCCCTGGGTAAGAGAGAAAGCATTAGTTTTCCGAGAAAGTGGGTTCCAAAGGTCAACCGTGCTGTCACCACAGCCCGACATACTGTCCTGGCATCAAACCGAGGTCTTCTAAGATCGAGAGGGTGGGTAGTAGTACGGGACTGGCTACTGGGAGGCCGGCAACCTCAGTAACTAAGCAAGAAGTAGAGGCCAGGTCTCCACACCTGCTGCTGCTCCAAACAAATGGGCTTTGAGCCTCACAGTTCCCTCTACTGACGGCCAGCTCCTGGCCTAAGACTCACTGTAGGTAGGTGCTCTCTCTCTGCTGAAGGCTTCTGGCTGCTGTTCTCCTATCTACCCACCCACCTTCTATTTCCCAGAAATATGAGGGCTGCTCAGGCTTGTTTGACCCAAGATCCTTGCCTGGGATCAGTCAGAGAATTTCTACTGGGTGTTTGCTCCTCTCCTAAAGCTATTCAGAATGAGGCACTGTGGGAAGCCAAAGCTATTCCTGGCCCTTTCCCTCCCACTCCTCAGACACCTCCAGCACACCTTCCTCCTGGTCGTCCCTGCCCACCTGTGGATGATGAAGTTCCTGTGCAGGTACTGAAGGCCACGGAGCACTTGGAGCACGATGCACTTCACCTGGAGGAGGTTCAGAAGCACAGGAAGGAGAGCTTTGATACACTGCCTAGCAGTCACCAGCAGCCTCAGGAGTATGGCTGTTGCTATGTCCTGCACAGTAAGACAGTACTGCAATGCATTTATTTGTATATGTATGAGCATGTGACACACGTTTGTATACGTGTGGGTGTGCGTGCCTGTGTGTGAACACAGGAGGTTGACGTCAAGTGTCTTCATCAGTTGCTTTCTACCTTATATACTGAAGCAGCATCTCTTATTTGAACCCAGGGCTGGCCAAATTTAGCTGGTCTAGCTAGCCAGCTTGCCTGGAAATCCTGTCTCTACTATACTACCTCCGTTATGCGGGGATTATAGGCAGGCTGCCATGCCCACCTAACATTTATTTATATGGGTGTAAGGGATCCAAACTCTGGTCCTCACGCTTGTATGCACAAAGGCACGTTTTTCTACCCTCTGAGCTATTTCTCCGGTCCCCTTTTCCTTTCCAGTAGCCTGACATGTGAACTGAGAAGACCTGGGTCCCCAAGCGCCCACAGTACACCACAGGTGAACTTCAACTCCTGAAGGCCCTAGATGCTGTGAACTGTCACATTCAATATGGCTACCCACCAAGCAGGACCTGTGAAACACCTCCCTGACACACCTGGGCCTCGGAGAATGGTGTTGGCATATTTTCCAACAGGCTGGCCAGATCTTGCTCACAGTAGCCCATCACCAGGAAGATGCTAGAAGAGAGAAAACACATGCCACCTTATGTTTCCTCCCTAGTGGGTACAGAGCTCTGTGCCTGCTGGAGAAAGGCCAACCCCATGAGAGGGACCCTTGGGGTAGGACAGCCTCAGGAAACCACACACCTCTCCAGGTGGTTGCCCACAACCACCTCCTTCAGCTCTACAATATTTGGATGGCGGAGACGCAAGAGCAATGTGATCTCACGCAAGCTGCTGATGGGAATGCCTGTAACCAAAGGGGCTCGGTGAACTCGACTCCACCACACCTGGGACCCCATAAACACTGTCCCCTCCAGGTGGAAATTAGTGATACCAACACCGTTCTTACTCCAGCATTCATTGGGGATGCAAGGCCAAAGGGCAGGGGTACCGGTCTTTGTGGAGGGTGACAGTGAACTCACCAGAGGACAGGGCAAAATGGCTTGGAGAGAATGTCCAAATTTACAGTTAGCTCAGGAAGGAAAAGTCTGGCAGGGCTGAGGAGCTCAAGCTCCGGCTGCAGTGATAGGTGGGGCAGTGACAGGCCAGGCCAGCCCCTTAACTGCTCTGCACATACCCTCAGAAGAGTTCAGTCCTGAGAAACCGCAGGTAACCAGGGCTTTCCTCCTCCCTCCTGCAGTAATGCCCCAGGGAGGGGCTTCTGCACCCTGCTCCCGGCTCACCATCCTTTTCTTTGTCCATCCGCACTTTCTTCAGGGCAACGATTTCATCCGTCTGGGTATCCCGGGCCCGATCTGAAACAGAAGCACATGTGTAATGGAGTCTACCTCAACCTCTCCCCCAGCCCATCCTGCCACGCGGTTTCCTGGGCTTCTTTTCTTCTCTGACAACCGAATGCCCAGCAACACTCAGCCCTTCCTTCAAAAAGATCTGAGCTTGGGGATCCTCACTGGTGCCCTGAGGGGCGGGTGTTTCCAGTTTAGCTCTGAGCTGGAAGCTGGCCCCCAGTAACTCAGCGGGTAAGGATCTCTCCTGGGCTTCTCTTTCTCACGCAGCCCACTGATTTGTGTTCTCTTGTGCTAACTGTAAGGGCAGTTAAAGTACTCTATCTAAGGGGAAACACTTACTGTACATGATAATGGCTTACAGAGTTTTGTTAACTGGTGCTAGGCAAAACGACTCTCACACCCAGGGAGCCGCAAGGAGCTTTCACAAGCTATACATTTTATTGGTCAGTTATTTCCACTCCTCCCTCACATATCTGGATTGCTGACATTAACAACCTGATGCTTATGTTTATCCAGTCATGGTGTAAATCACACCGGGAATTAAAGTCTGGGAGCAAGCTTTGGAGTACAGAGTGTGAGCCTTCCCTTCCCAACACAGCTGTGCCTACACACTCCTTGTCTTGACCACTCACACACAATGCCATAGGTGCCCTCGCCAATTCGGTTCAGCTTCTCAAACTCCTTAACGCTCCGGCATCTTCCCAGCTGAAAGAGAGAGCAGTAGCCAGTGTGGGGATCTGGAAGCTAACTAGCACGAGCGATGACGAATCTCCCCCATGTCTGGCACTGACAAGCTTGCTTGCCTCTTGCTCACCAAAAAGAAAGCGACCACACACTTGGAATTTCCTGATGAGCAGAGGGGAAGAATGACAGACACTGGAACCACTTTGAAATGCTGAAGGTGGCCTAATGACTCCCTCCAACCCAGGGTTCCAGACGTCTGCTGCCGAGTAACAAATGGCCACAAGCCACGTACACAAACACCTCTGTGCAGAGGGAACCAGGGGTCTCATTTGTGAGATCTGAGAAGGGACCTCCAGATCAATGGAAGCTAGCTGACCTATTTCCTTTCGCAGGCTGGGATGAGGATGAGGATGGGGGTCAGGTAGAGCAACGAAACAGACTAGGGAGCTATGAGAAACAGCTGCCTCTAGAATTTTAGGGGTCAGAGAAATAGCTTGCTTGAGTCATGGTATTCTGGGGTCTTAGCAGGGATTCTGTAACCTAATACATCTCACAGTGCACTGCCTTTGTAGGTGGGGTAATTAAGCATTTCTTGGTTATAGATCTCATTAGTGTTAGGATTCTGTCATTCCAGTTCCCAGGTGGCTTTGCCACCCCGCCCCCACCAAGCTCTTCTCTCTCTTTTGAAACAGGGTTTCTTTGTCTAACAATTCTGTAAACCAGGCTGGCCTCAAACTCACAGAGATCCACCTGCCTCCACCTCCCGAGTGCAGGGATTAAAGATGTGAGCCCCCATGCCTGACCTGGCTTCCCTTCTCTTAACAGCCCTGGGTTTTGTTCACTTGTGATAGTTGGTGCTTTTCCATGATCCACTCCTGGTCCAAACCAAATGTCAACCCTTCTACAAATCTCTTATGGAATATTCTTCTTTTCTCCGAAATCGCCATTATTTTTTATCTTTGCTCGTTTTTGCGGTCTCACTTCTGTAGCCCAGGCCGCCCTCCAACTTGGGGTGATCATCCTGCCTCAGTCTCCTGAGTACTGGGATTACAAGTATAAGCCACCACGCATACTTGACATTTTTGTCTTGAGGAGCCAATTATTGTACACTATTGTGCATATTCTCCCCCTTTAGGGGATTTCGCAACCTCAGCTTCCAGCACAGTGCTCTGAAGCTCTTAAGTTCATGTGCCTTGGCCTTGCAAACCACAAACAAGAAGCTAAAACATACGCGGGCTGCTGCAAACCTCTTCCTACCAACAGTCTACCTGAGCCCAAAGCAGCGCTCCTAAGGTTCACCTTCCCCATCACACACCGAGTGTGGGTAAAGCAGACCGGTAAGCATGGTGACAACTCCGGGCTGCAGGTGCCACTGGAACGCCCCATTCTTCTCTCCCGCAAAAACTTCACGCCCCACCCCGCCGCCTCATCCGAGTTCGCACTCCGTCGGATCCCACCCGTGTGCCCCCGTCCCCAGCAGCTCGGCTGTGGATTTCTGCACACGCCGCAGCCAGCTCTGGGACTGACATTCCTCCGATGCCGGAGCCTCAAACTTTAAGGCGACAGTGAGTCTCAGAGCGCTCCAGTCTGGCCCTGCCACAGCGCCGCCCGAGTGGCACCCCGTCGCACCCTGTGTTCTGGAGGCACGGTGAAGAAACCTTCCTTACGGATGCACTTCAGTCGGATCTGATCCGACTCTAGGTCCACCTCCGCCATGCCGAAGCCCGTGCCGCTCCACCGCCCACTTCCAGTGCGCAGGCGCAAACCGCCCATCGGCGCAGGCGTACAAGGCACTTCCGGTTTGTTCTAGAACCATCACCTAAGCATTCCCTAGAGGTTGTCCAGTCTGGGTCTGCTCATGGCACAGAGGTTCCGCCCCCTTTGCAGCGTTAGGTGCAGACAGGACCCCGCAAAGTTGCTCAAAGTACATCCCTGGCCAAGCTTGCAGAAGACTCTGGTTCTGATCAGCCGGAAGAAAATGCTTTCCCACTTAAGTGAGACCAGTTCCGGCAGATCAGCAATGCTTTCTGCTCTTTGAGGAGACCACTGCAAAAGAACTATGCTTTTTCACAGGGGTTCGGTACATTGCCCGAAAACTGGCTCTGTGGGAACCCAGCCCTTCCTGAGGTCAACCTTGTCCCATCACTAGCTAAGGACAAGACAGAAGAAGTCTTGCGCAGGAAGAGCCATATCATCCATCCACAAGGAAATAAAGAGCTGCTTTCCTGTTCTTTCTTTCGACTCCACATTTGCCTTCCTGGGTTGAGGAAGAGTTGCGTGGTTTGGGAGACCGCTGGGAAGGAATAGTTGTAATGGCCACTGGCGAGCAATGCCAGCCCAAGAGGTTCCGTGAGGCTGCTTAGCTCTGAACACCATTGTCTCTAACCCCTTGCGGAGGTTTGTATAGATTAGGAAAGCGAATGTTCCTGCTTCTCAGGGCCCAGAGCTCAGGCCCATGTGGGCACTGTACTTAGGTCAATGCTGTAGTGTGTGTTTGGACGCAGGGGCATATGCCAGTAATTCCAGTAATAGGAACACTCTGGAAGCAGAGGCCAGAAGATTCTGAGTTCCAAACTAGAACAAGTTGCATAGCCTGGTTATCTCAAAACAAAAGAAGACTTTCAGTAGCCAGTCTCTAATGTATTTTTTTAAAAGTGAGATCTCTGCCACTTTGAAAATTGTTTTTCTCTGGGCATGTTGTCACAAACCTGAAATCTCAGCAGTCGGGAGACTGAGACAGGAGGATTGCTGTCTCAAGACTGACCAGGACTACATAGTGAGTTCCAGTCCAGACTGGATTGGATGTGAGACCCTAACCCTGTCTCAGAAAACAACCACGCTGGGAATGCAGCTCAATAGGAGAGCATCTGCCTAGCACCGTGTGAGGTCCTAGGTTCACTCCTCAGCACCACACACACAAATCGTTTTCCAAAGTCACTTAGGTTATTTATATGAAGATCTATATTGTCAGGCCTGCAAGTATGTGCTAGCTAGTGTAGTCTACATATTTTATACAGTAACTGGTCTCATGTATGTATTAGAAACTGTTGGCATGTGTAATAGGCGACAGATCCCCTCGCCCTAGTACAGGAGAAGGTTGTGTTTGTAATCCTGGTAGGCATATCACTATTTCTGGTTTTGTTAGCCTACAAAGAAAGCCCAAACAATATGGCAATTAATGAAGAAAATACACTTTTACTAGGCCACATATAAGAAAAGAGGCTGGTAGGTGCATTCTCTCAAGATACAGCCTGACCTGAAGTTTGCTAGGGAGGAGTCAACTGAAAAGATGGCACATGTTTGGATTCCTAGTGGCCCTTCTCTATAAAGTTCCTTCGTCCATGGGCCAGAAAAACAAGACAGCATTCACAGGCTATTGCCAAAATCCTAAGTATCCTGCTGCCCTGCTCAGTTCAAGGACACACTACATTTTTTTTTTTTGAGTCTTCAGTACAGACAGTCAAGCTAGTGTCCCACCAGCCGAGGCCTCTCTGCTCTTGAACTTAACAGATCTCAGACTAGCCTTTACTGCAGACTTGGCGGGGGGGGGGGCATGTCATTTACTCTCTGAGCCAGCCACCCTCTCCCCATTAAGATGCTGAGGACTTTGAGGAAACTCAAATAGGCGCTGAGACAGAACCTCAAGGACCAGAGAAGGGCATTCAGTGTCAACACAGGGAAGGGTGGCCCTTCTGTCAGCCTAGCTGACACTCAGATCACAGGAAACAATCACAGCTCCCGGGAGCTCTCATTTATTCTGTGTTGTGTCTGTCATAGGCTGCTATTGTGCTGGGGTTCCTGTGTCGGTAGTAAGGGCCCCAGTCAGCCTGTTCATGAATGGTTCTCTGTTCTTCACTTTCATCGAGGCCGTAGCTCATTAGCGTCTCATTCGAGGCTTGGGTGATGATGATCTGTGGAATGACACTTCTCTTCTTGTTCGACTTTTGTTTTGTATCAGGTTTGTCTAGAGGGAAGAAAACATCCATCCATTTAGTGGGTGTGTGGAAACATCTTCCACAATGAAGATAAGGCCTGTCTTAGCTCCCAGTAAGGGAAACAGATTCATGGCCAGTGGGAAAAACAAAACCAACTGCCTGATGGCTCGGTTCCACCACTCAACCAGACTGACAGCCTGGAAGGGCAGCTGTGAGTACTGGGAGACTCATGCAGGAAGAGATAGAGGAGAGTACATTTCAGGAGCTGAATACCTCCGGGGTGTTGAGTACAGGCCACTACATTCTTTTGAGTCTTTAATACAGACAAACTAGGATCCCACCAACCCTGAGGCCTCTCTATTCTTGAAATTAACAGTCATTTTTTTTTTCTAGACAGGGTTTCTCTGTCCCAAAACTCGATCTGTATACCAGATTGTCCTCGAACTCACAGAGATCCACCTGTGTCTGCCTACCGAGTACTGGGATTAAAGGCGTGTGCCACCACCGCCTAACAACAGATACTTCTAATACTGGCCTTGTCCCCAGACTTGGGAACATGTCATTTACTAACTTCCAAATGCTTCCACCACACACCTCCATGAGGAAATGAACAGAGAGGACTTTAAATGCCCGCCTGAGTCAGTGTGAGCTGCCGCCCGATGACTACCACTGCGCAGCCGGCTATTCCCAACACACATGCTAGTCAGACCTTCAGGACCTCCAGATTTACTGTCCGAGCCTGCCACCCTCTCCCCACTGAGTTGCTTGATCAGAAGTGAATCTGCCTCTCAAGTTAGAGGGTTCGGGTGCCTAGTCTCCAAAGAATTCCAATTTGGAAAATCTTTCTGTTCAGAACTTTATGAATCAAAATGTCCTAGAAACAGGCATTGCTGATATTGTCCACATTTTCACACACTTGTTGAGGTTACAGGAAGTACGTACACCCCGAAGGGCCACAGAATATGTATGTTAAGAACACAAACAGGCCTGACGGTGGCGGGCACACGCTTTTAATCCCAGCACTCTGAAGGTAAAGGCAGACAGAACTCTGTGAGTTTGGGGCCAGCCTGGTCTACAGAGTGAGTTCCAGGACAGTTAGAACTGTTACACAGAGAAACCCTGTCTCAAAACCAAATAAATAAAAAACAAACAAATAAATAAATGAACAAACAAAGTTGAGCCAGGCATGGTGATGCACACCTTTATTCCAAGAACTGGAGGAGGCAGAGGCAGGCAGATCTCTGTCAGTACAAGGCCATCTTGGTCTACATAGAGAGTTCCAGGACATCCAGGGATACAGAGTGAGATCAAAATATTCACTGGTACAATGCATACTTAGCACAAAAAATGAGGCCCTGGTTTCAACCCTCAACTCCCACCACACAAACAGATAAATAAAACCAGCTGGGTGTGGTAGCTTTAATCCCAGTACCTGGGGGGCAGAGGCAAGAGGAGCTCTGTGAATTCAAGGACACCCTGGTCTAAATAGAGAATTCCAGGCCAGCCAGGGGAACATAGTAATACCCTGCATCAATCAATCAATCAATATCATTGGACATGGAGTAGTCAGGCTGGTGCCTACCTGGAGCCTTCATTCCTATTATCCTGCTCATAGCACAGGACGGCACTCTGCACACTACTAAAGGAGACAGGTAAACACCAACCCAGCTACAAACTCTTCCATCAACAATGGTGACCTGCATGTAAAATAAGCGAGCGCAACAGCAGCCCAAAGCTTGAGGGACTAACCAGCCAGTATCTGATTGGATTTAAGGCTCAGTCCATGAGATGGAGCTCCTCGTTGACACTGCTTAGGTGACCAAGACCATGAGACTGAATTGGCCAGGAATCTAGGGACTGGAATGTAGGGCCAAATACTACTGTTCTCCTAAAGGAACACAGCAGTAAAATTATTCTTACCAATTCTGCTATACTCATTGATCAGTATCTTACTCAGTGATTAGGGAAGCTTCCTCCTACAGTAGATGGGGACTGAGATCCCCAGCTGGACAATGTGCGGAGAGTGAGAGACCTTGCAACACTCAGTCCTAAATGGAATGTCTCTGTCAATTTCCTTTTCGCAGGACTCAGGGAACCTCGCAAAAAAGAAGGCAAAAAGATTGAAAGGGTTCAGCAAGGCTGGAGAAGACCAAAGAAACAAGGCCTTCTAAGCACAAAGAGAGCAATGAACAGATGGGTTCACAGAGAACGTGGCAGCATGCACAAGGCCAGCACAGGTCTGAGCTTGATGGGGCCCCAGGGCTGAGAGGGGAAGGAGACACAGGCTACATCCTTAACCCAGACGCTCTCTCCAACGGATAACCGCTTGCAAGTGAGAAACTAGCTTTCTCCAATGGAGTCTCACTGGAAATACAAACCACTCATAAGGTCAGGTCCCACGCCCAGCAATAGAAGGTCAACACAAAATGGACCCAGCGGCGTTTTTGGAGGTTGGCTGTCTCATAATGCTTTGTCAGGGTAGCATTTATTTATTTGTTTGTTTGTTTATTTATTTATTTGTATACAGTATTCTGTGTGCGTGTATGCGTGCAGGACAGAAGAGGGCACTAGACGTCATTACAGAACCACCATGTGGTTGCTGGGAATTAAACTCAGGACCTTTGGAAGAGCAGGCAGTGCTCTTAACCGTTGAGCCATCTCTCCAGTCCTCAAGGTAGTTTTTAAACAGACAACAACAACCTAACAACAGCAACAACAAAAGCCTACAATTCCTTTGTGTTCATACTATGGTGGTTCCAGTTTGGTGTTTTTATGTTTTTATGAGATTTCTGTGTGTTTTCTTTCTTCTTCTTCTTCTTCTTTTTTTTTTTTTTTTTTTTTTTTTTTTTTTTTTTTTTTTTTTTTTTTATTTTTTTTTTTTTTTTTTTTTTTTTTTTTTTTTTTTTTTTTTGGTCTTTTGCAGACAGGGTTTCTCTGTGTAACAGCCCTAGCAGTCCTGGAACTAGCTCTTGTAGACCAGGCTGGCCTCGAACTCGCAGAGATCTGCCTGCCTCTGCCTCCCAGAGTGCTGGGATTAAAGGCATGCACCACCATCGCCCAGTTTATTTGTTTCTTTAACTTTTTCTTTGGCTCTTTTTCTTGTTTGTTTTGTCTTATTATGGTTTGCTTGTATTTATCTTACCTATTTTATTATTGTCTAGATACCTGTTTGTATCTTAATGAGAAGAGAAAGAAAGGGTGTAGATTTGGGTGAGTGGGAAAGTGAGGAGGATCTGGGAGGAGTTAGGGGAGGGGAAGCCATAATCAGAAGATATTGTTGTCGAAAAACATTTTCGATAAAAAATAATTCAGGAAATAAATAAACAAAACCAATATATGTAGGTCTAAATACATGCTTGCTTCTTGTGCTTCCAGAGTTCACATTCCTGCACCATCCGTGGAGCAGAGGATGTTCTTTCGGCCGCCTTCTGTGCTGAACACACAGCCCTGGGCCCTACGCCTATCTGCGGTTCCCATCCTTTGTGTGACCAACTCCATTGGTTGCACATAGTTTATTTCTGATTTTATCTTTTTGTTCTCTCTCTCTCTCTCTCTCTCTCTCTCTCTCTCTCTCTCTCTCTCGTTTGTGTTACTTCTTTCTCATTTGCTATGACTAATGCCTGACAACAGCTTAAGGGAGTGGTGTATTTTGTCTCCTAGTTTAAGAAGGGATACAGCCCATCAAGTCTGCAGGTATGGCTACCAGAAGAGGAGACAGTCATGCACTCAGTGCAGCCAATCACATGGATACTGAGTCTTATTTAGTTAACCTTATCTAGAAACCTTCTCACAGACATGTCCAGAAGTGTGTCTCCTAGGGTTATCTGTTCTATCTAGTTTTGGAGACAAGGTCTTAACCATGTCGCCCAGGCTGTCTAGAACTCAAGCCTCTCTTGCTCCACCTCCTGAAAGCCGGGAATATAGACAAAACACTTGATTTAAGGTTCTTGCTATATGGTACCTGCACTGTTTAACTTTTTGAGACAGTCTTACTACGTAGCAATAACTTGCCTAGAACTTGGCCTTGAACAATCTTCCTGCCTTTGTTATTGGGATTACAGGCTTGCACCATCTTGCCTGGAAGTCCTCAGTGTGTCTCTCTGGTGCTGGTCATACCACAGTGCCATCCTGAGCTACTTTATTACTGCATAAAAATTACTTCAAAGTTGGTGGTTTTTATCAGTGCCCATTCCTACAGTCCTTCAGTCTTGGTGCCCCAGGAAGTCAGGCACAGCGTGGCTAGGATTCTGCTTAGAGCCTGAGTCTACATTCCATGATTTGATTAGGGTAAGGGTTATTTGTGGCTCCAATACTGAAGCCCCATTTCCCCTGATAGTATGGTCAGTGCTGGGCTTCCAGAGGCCCACAATCTCTGTCTGTAATTGTGTGTGGGGGGGGTATGGAATAGGTTCTGCTATTTATCTTTATCTGGCTTCAAACTCATGGGGCTCGTCCTGCTTTAGCACCTAGAATGCAGGAATCACAGGTATGCACTATCACATTTTAGACTTTTTTGGGGGGAGGGGGAGGGTTTTGAGACAGGGTTTCTCTGTGGCTTTGGAGCCTGTCCTGGAACTAGCTCTTGTAGACCAGGCTGACCTCAAACTCACAGAGATCCACCTGCCTCAGCCTCCTGAGTGCTGGGATTAAAGACATGCGTGCGCTACCACCGTCCCGGCTACATTTTAGACTTTTTAGAAACATTTTAAATTGTATTTTTATTTTGTGTGCACGTATGTATGGGGGAGCACATGTGTAATGGTGCAGGTGTAGAGGTCAGACACAACTTTAGCTGTTGCTTCTCTTCCTTCCCCCTTGGGGTTCCAGGATTGAGCTCAGGTGCTCAGGCTAGTACCAAGCCTTCTACCCATTTTCTCCACCTCTGTGATTTCTGAGGGCTTCTGTAATTAGGTTGGATATACCCAGATAATCTCTATTCTGATTAAGTTAAGGTCAACTAAAAACTTGATCATAGCAATGGCACCCTTTCTTTTGGACAAGTTCTACCCTATTCCAGGAGAGATCACGC